TCTCTCTCTCTCTCTCTCTCTCTCTCTCTCTCTCTCTCTCTCTCTCTCTCTCTCTCTCTCTCTCTCTCTCTCTCTCTCTCATCTTCTTCTTCTTCTTCTTCTTCTTCTTCTTCGTCTCCTTCTTTCCTCCATTCCTCTTTCCTCTCCGAGTGTCCTTCGGGGACATCCATTAAAATTGTCGTGATCATCATAATTGTCGTCATCATCGTCATGGTCGTTGTCCTCATCATCTTCATCATCACCATCATCACCATCATTTGCACGCATGGATGGTAGAAGCAGGATCCAAACTGCAGGCATGGAGTTACGAGTACATGAAGCAACAGACAAATGCAAACGACTTACCGCTTGCTTAAAGGAGAGCGCCTGCAGGATGAAATGCTTCAGAGGCTTGTAAGGATCGGAAACCACAATCTCTCCAGATTTCTTCATGGTCTCCGTTGGTCCAATATCACCTCGTGAAATAGCCATCTCAACGCCACGTGTGTGCCTCTTCTTCAATCAGCTGATTACACACAACCTCTCACATGTAAGTTCCCAAACACCTCCCTCCCTCTCTCTCCCTTCCTCCCTCCTGTAAATCAGGGCTGGGTGTGGGACATTTCAGTCAGTGCAGATGCCTGTTCCACCATGTAGACCTCTCCACGCAGCAACAAATGATATCCACCTCACCAACAAAAAAGCCCCAACGAGCCAACCCAATTAAAGCTTCAACAATACCGGCCTTACCCCGCTCCTCTTTCATCAATCATAAGCTAAAAGCCCCAGCATTGCTTCAACTACGCTGCCTTTCAGTCCCGCAAATGAATGGCTGCCTTCCAGGAATTTGCAAAAACAAAGAAAAAAGAAACCACCATGAAAACGTCGTTCACATCCAAATGCACATACCGCTTCACTACTAGACCCATGCAAGAAAAACAAAAAAGGATCAGTTTTCCGACAAGTTTCGGAGAAGAAATGCCAGAAACGAAGGCCACCACACCCTGCAAACGTGTGACACCCTTACGCTTGCACGTCTGCCTCTGCACCTCTTAGTCCCTCTAGAGTACACACTGTGCAAATGCACACACGTATTTAGATAAGTTAAAAAAGACTGACTCAATGAATCCAGGAGCGATAACAGCAAAACAATAAGATCTTTTGTGCTGCTTCTTGGGATCTTCCGCATCCCCAAGCCTAGAGACAGAACCGCCGACCCTCTCACCCAACTCGACGCTGATAACTCCAGTCCCCTCCTCTAGCTACTTCTCTCCACTCTCTCTCTCTCTCTCTCTCTCTCTCTCTCTCTCTCTCTCTCTCTCTCTCTCTCTCTCTCTCTCTCTCTCTCTCTCTCTCTGTCTGTGTGTGTTTTAGGAACCCCAGACTCTCTCCCTCATTCCCTCCGCGAATCATCATAAACCATTCACAAAACAAAAGAAGTAGAGATAGGTAAGATAGTAAAAATGCAAGGTTGGCCACGTTTGTGTGGTTCAGCGCCAAGTGCCCACACACCCGTCTGCCGCTGAAGCGTCACACTTGCACATACACATATATATACAGCCCCCTGATGAGCCGGTGAAACTCCGACGAAACAGTTTGTCACAGCCCCTCGTTTGTTGTCCTCTTCTCCCTCTCTGCCTACGGTTTACAGGGACGAGATATATACTGTCACATAACTAGGAACTAAAAGAGCGCACTTTGTGAAACAAACGGCAAAAATAAAAAATTAAAAAACAAGAAAAACATGAAGGGCACACTGAAACCATTCATTTTTCTCATTCTTCTTTTAACTCCCCCTTCACCTTGCCTCTCATGTACAAGGCTCGCCACGTTGATGAAGTGGAGAGCAAGCTGCCCCCATCCCCGTGTACCATAACGGCCCGCTTGTACGCTGTGAGAAAGAGACAGAGAAAAGAGGGAGGGTGTTACATACTGATGCCACACGGGTCCCTTTCGGACCCGACCACTAGGCTAAGGGGTACTTAGGCCGGCCCAGCTAAAGGCCGGACCTTTCTCCCGGTAGGCCGCTTTGAGGCACCGGTTGGACTTCCTGCAGCAGACCAGGTACAGGCCCAAACGACATTACCGTTTGAGCCTGGCGGCGCCCTTGAGGCTGCCGCCCGCCAGTCTGATCTGAATCGTCAAGTTTGACGATTCAGATCAAGGCGCGTTGAGGCAGCATTGAGGCCGACCAGCCGCCGGCCGGTACTTGGGCCGGTCCAGCAGCCATTCCAGGGATTGGAGAGGCAGTACGGCAGGAGGTACGAACCTGCGCTATTCCTGTTCAGTGCAGCGGTTGGAGCTGCAGCGCTAAGTTTAGCGCACTGCAGCCAAGGGACGCGAGGACGGAGACTTACCTAGAGTACCGTGAGCGCCATAGCTCCCAGCGGCTCAGCCCAGCTCCCGCATCAGCCAAGGTGCCATCTTGCAGACACAGGCTAGGCCTGAGGCTACTCGCCATCTCCCGCGACTCTCTGCCTCCCCTCTCAGTCTTCTTCTTCTTCTTCTTCTTCTTCTTCTTCTTCTTCTTCTTCTTCTTCTTCTTCTTCTTCTTCTTCTTCAGACTCCAGACTCCTTCTTCCTCTTCTTCTTCAGACTTCAGACTTCTTCTTCTTCTTCTTCTTCTTCTTCTTCTTCTTCTTCTTCTTCTTCTTCAGACTGGAGACTATTGATACGAGTTGGACAGAGATCAGTGGTTGGACTATTGTTACACAGGGAGGAGAGATGGAGAGCAGACGAACAAAGAACGATTAAGGGAAAGTAAGGGAAAGTATGGAGTGTGGAGTGAAGATGAATGCAAAAGAGGATAAGAAAAGGCTCAAGAATGAGTCTGTCCTTGACGACAGAGAGGACATACATTGTAAGGATGACGTGGATGAACACATGGAAGACCTGGCTGAGCATTCTCAGTGCAACAATTGCCACGACGGGTGGCATTGAGCATGCCTGCCATACACCCCCGACAAATGGCATGTCGATTGCAGGCCAAAATGAAAGAAGAAAGGTCACCACAAAAGAGCATGCATTCAGTATAGCGCCCATGGCCGCAAAATGGACATATAGTCTCAGGATGCGGAGGGTGCCTGCAGTCAGGAACAGAGGGACAGTCCTCTGCACACATGGATGCAGAAACCATGTCATTACATCATTGTAGTGATTGTGACAGAGACGATGGGGGCTACAGCCGAGTGTAACAGTGTTTGGGGTTGTGCAAAGGAGAAGGTTGCAGAGTGTTGGTACATTGACTTGCTGCAGCACGGGGCCAGAGGGATGATCTTCGACATAAAAGAGATTGCAGACGGTTTGTTGTGGCAAGAAAACAGCATCATTTTGTAAGAAATCAATGACATCAGTCATGGCATGGACCATGGTGCCGTTGCCCCACAGCTCCCAGTGGTCAGAGGCATGTACAATGGCCATGTAATGGTCAGGCCCGTGCACAATGCAGGCAGAAATGTGGGATGGAGGATTAAACCACTCACCTGCTCGAGCATTGCGTAGTTCAAGTTGACGGTCCCTCATTGCTACTTGTAGGACAGCAATGGTAAAGCCTCCTTCGCTGGTATAATTACAATCCTCTGGCTGTAGTTGGGGAAGATCAGCATCAAGCTGAAGGGCAACTGCAAGGAAGTCTGATGGTGTATAAAACGGGTGGTGGAGAATGTGAAGACAGATATTAGTTGCTGTCAGACCACAGAGATTGAGGTTCCCAGGCTGGTTTGTTGGATGCTGGCCAACAATTTGCAGATCACCCAGATGACGGCGCAAGCCCGAACTGTGTTGGGTTGTTTGCTGGTCAGTCATTTGCAGATCACCCATGTGGCCTGCGCATGGCGGAGCACAAATTTGTGGTTCATCCGAACAATGCTGGTCAGCCATTTGCCTATCCCCCATGTGGTCTACGCCTTGTGGGGTCAATTGCAATCCGAGCAGATCATGTACGTATAATAGCGCCGTATATACATTTCTCATAGTCCACAAAGGGATGGAGGGCGAAAAAAGGCACTTACCTAAGACAGAAGACTCCTCCAGCATGAAAACACCAACCCAACCTGCTAAAGGTCCAAAAAACTTAGAGAGCCTTCCGTGCTGGCTCACAAAACCACAAAGACACAAAAACAACACAGGTATAACAGCACTGGCACTACTTTCATCCCAAACTACCCATTCACGTCACTACCAAAGGGGTGGAAGGTAAAAGACAACTTACCTAAGAAAGAAGACTCTTCCAGCAAGAAAACACCGACCCCACCTGCTAAAGGTCCAAAAAAACGTGGAGAGCCTTCCACACCATCCCACAAAACTTACATTCCCCCCTCAAAAAAACTTGTGGCCACTCATAAACACCCAATCAGCACATGCTCTAAAGCAGGGCAAAGAATAAGGCCATGTGTGTGTGTTGTTAAAGCACCCCAAATTCTCTCTCTCATTTCCTCCACAAATCATAACAAACCACCCATAACGAAAAAGTATAGATAGACAATATAATAATGCAAGGTTGGCCACGTTTTTGTGGTTCAGCACCAAGTGCCCACACACCCGTCTGCCGCTGAAGCGGCACAATTACACATATACACATATATATATTTATTTCATCCATAAAAGGGTGGATGGCAAGAAGCAACCTACATAAGACAAAGGACTCCACCAGCAAGAAAGCACCGATCGCATCCGCCATAGGTCCGAAAAAACTTGGAGAGCCCTCCACGTCGGCCCACAAAACCACAAAACAGCATAACACAAAAGGCTCCACCAACAAGGAAGCACAGGCCACACATGCCAATGGTCTTTAAAAAAAAAAAAATAGAGACATCTGCGACGACCTAAGCGCCACCACAAATCAAAAAAATACTGCAGGATATGACGCAACACCAAAGTGCCATGAACCTCCCCCTGCCGCGCAACCTGCAGAATCGGATGATGTCCTAGTGCTATAGCGAGGCCACTGCGAGAACTATGCCAAATTTCACAACATCTCCACGCGACACCAGGGGCGCTACTGCTTAAGACACCCTATAGGCACCCCATTCTTCCATGTGCTATGAAAGAGCAGCCCACGGGAATGACACCCACAGCAAACACTCTACGAGCCTCCTCGCAGAGGTATCGTGGCCAAAACCCCAAACTCCCAGCCCAGTGTGTGTGTGTGTGTGTGTGTGTGTGTGTGTGTGTGTGTGTGTGTGTGTGTGTGTGTGTGTGTGTGTGTGTGCAGCACATCCTCAACACATCTGGACATGAAGCCAGCAGGGAGATGAAATGCACACAGGAAACGCACGAGTGAGTAGGTCAAAATAGAGCAAAGAGCAGCCCACGGGAATGACACCCACAGCAAACACTCACTGAGCCTCCTCGCAAAGATATTGTGGCCAAAATCCGAAACTCCCACCCCAGTGTGTGTGTGTGTGTGTGTGTGTGTGTGTGTGTG